ATTGTAGGCATGTTTAAAATTTGCTGTGGATATTTTTTTTTGTTTGGATAAAAAGTGAGTAAAAAACCAAATGGTTAATGGCCTGGAATAAAGAACTGAAATATGAATTCAGTTACGAATTCTTGGATTTAAGGCAATGGAACTGTAAATTTAAATTCGATAATGGCAAAGTTTTGAACGAATTTACAGATTTTTTAAAAAAAGGAACACAATTTAGAATAATCAAACCCGTCTTCATGCTTGCGTTTTTATCTTCTGCTTCATGTCATTATAAAGGAAAATTGTAACAAAAGTTTTAATGCAGCGAAAACAAAGTACCAAAAACTCATGCTTATGCCAGAGTCTTTTATTTGTTAATTGAATATAACCATTAGTTTCAGGTTTGTTTTACATCCCGTAAGATTTAGGGAGGACAATGGAGCAAAAATTTAATTTTTAATAAAATGTCATTTAATTGACTCTTTTAATAACCTCTTTGATATTGTAACCAAGACTGTACAGAGCATAGAACCAAGACTAGAGGTAGTATTGTAAATAATCTTGTATGAATTTTTTTTTGTGTCTGAGTTACAAGGTTTTGTTTTTCTTTGCATTGTATTTGAAAATTTTGCTTTTGGGTTGAGTATTTGAATAAAATAAACATGAAGCCAAATATAAAAGGAGTCGCGGTAAATGTTCAAATATAATTCTGAATAAAATTTTTTAAATACTTCAACTAAATATTTGAAAAATGCAGCTACAATATTTTCTAATTACCTTTGTACAATTGAATAAAAAACGAATACAATAAATTTTACATAATGTTATTTAAAAAATATACGCCCAATTTTTTGACCACACGTGTTTTTATGTTTCAAAAACTAAATTGTCATTGTAGTTTAAGGAAAAGTAAAAATATTATTATGCATAAATTAAATAAAAGAAAAACTGAAAATCCTTTCAAGTTCGTCCTAACGATTACCTAATTATCAAATTGAATATTTATATTAATCTGTTCTATATCCTTGGAATAATACAGTTTTTTTAATATTCTGGAAATTTTATGATAAAATTTCTGATTAATAATAAAATCATAATTACAAAACTGAAAGTGAACAATTATAATTTCTATTCTTTCAGATTAGGTATGGATATTAAGAAATCCTATTTAAATAATATATTCACGCCCCCTTGCTTGAATGAATTTTTGATGTGAATATGATGTAGCTTTCATAGTTATAGTAAACGACTAGGGCAAATCAAAAAGTCAATGAAGCGCACAATTTTCAATTTTATTTGAGTGAAAATCTAGGTGATCAATTATTCTAATCAATAACGAAATTATAAAACTATTTATAAAACTATTTTGTTCGTTCTTACATAAAATACTATTTTTAATTTACAATAAATTTTATTTTGCCATCTAACTGGAAAATTTTACATTAGTAGAAGAATAATTTGAATAATTGATAAATGATTGAGCGAATCTTGAAATAATTTATATTTAAATCATATTAAGTAGTAAAATTCTAGCCTCCGCATTTATTAAACAGGCATTTGATAAATGTGAATACTAGTTAATTAAAAATTAATTAAAAGATCAAATTAATTAATATTTGTATTATATAATTTATTAAATTTCAATTTAAAAATGTATTTCTTTGGGGTATTATTTTAAAGAAGTGACTATTATAGCTGCCGATTTACATTAGTTTTCATCACTGCTTAATCAGCTTAATCACCGATTTCAATTTGTAGCTCGTATAAATATGTCCAAATATATAAAATTTTCAAAAAACTAGCAAATCTAATATATTCACCTTGATTTGCCGAAACAATTTTCTCTTCAAATTGAAACTCTTAATTTTTAAAATATTTTGTCAAAAATTGGATAATCGAGTTCTGATGAAATTCTAGATTTTTATTCTACCGAAATTTTTTCAGTGCAAATAATTTTATTGGATTAATTTTGCAAAATAATTTCATTATGCTACCATCTTTTCAATTAACTAAAAGATGATCTACATACTTTTGTTAACTAATTTCACTTTTCAGTAAGCCAGCAATATTGATAATTATTGCTATTGCATTATAACAACACGTTCTTAACTATTTTAACAAAAACCGAAGATATTTGTTTTTTCCTATGAATAAAATAAGCGCAATAATTTTCATGAGAAAAATTTTTTCAAAGTTATATAACCATGCACTTCAATATGCACCAAGATCTAATATAAAAACCAGTGCCTTTATTGTTCTAAATTTTCAAGAAAATAAAAATTTTTTTTTTAAATGAAAGAGACCGACGGCACCCGTCTCTTGTACTTTTGGTTCTATTATTTTCTTTGTAGCATTTTCTTTGAATATTAAATTTACAAAATGAAATATTGTAATAAAAAATGTTATTTTTGAAAAGAGAATTTACTCCTATTATTTTGAAGGCGCAATCCAAGTTAATTCAAAGTTTTTTTTTTTTTAGTTAATAGTATGTTTGTCTGTGTAAAAGGTTTGTATATCAGTTATAATAAACATAATAATAACAATAATAATAATAGTAATAATGATAAAAATATATATATGTATTTTTAAATTATTCAAATAGAGGTCGTTGAATACAAAATTATTGTGTTCCATTGAAACAGAGTGTGTCACATTGAACTTGAAATATCTACATTATAAATACCTTTGAATTTTAACAAATTATTGCAATGAGAAAAAAACAATTTTACAAAAACGAAGATTTTCGTAAAATTTCAACAAATAAATTTTTTATATTGGTTTAGTGCTTATTGCAGTAAGAGCAGTAATTCGGCCACTCCTCCTTAACTAGCTGATTAAATATTAATATAAACAATATACGAGAATGTTCCGACAATAGTACAATATTAATTTCACTCAAGGAAACCAAACGATATTATGTTAAAACCCTTACTTTTAATTTGCTAATAAGGATTTTGAGTTTCCGACGTTTTAGAATGAAACTATTAGAATAAAATAAATGTTTCTTTATGTACGACTAAATTTTCTTTTACTCTTTTTGTAGAAAGAATTGGCTCCTAATGCGGAACATCTTGTTATCATAATCAACAAGAATTCATAGAAAAAACCAAATATTTTTCAAGTATTTTATATTATAGAGTATAGAACACATAACAGAATCGAATATAGAATCAATATACGAGTATAAGAATCGAATTAAATTAGATGATTATATAGATTGAAAATCATTTTAGAATATTAAAATTATTATTGAAATATTAAAGGGACGCATATATACAAAGAAAAATACCTTATTATAATAGAAATAGTTATAAAAGGAAATTATGAATATTAAAGATAAAATAAAAGACTAAAGGTATATTTATATCTAGAAAGAGAATACCGCCAAAATTATTAACATATATATAAAGGATTAACCATATAAAGGGTAATCAATATACAATATAATTATTATAATGAGTTCAAAATCTCGTGATTTATGTGAGTTTACATTAAATTTTAAAATCTAAGTTGTCTTTAAAGCAGCCGAAATATCTCACCTTACTGAAATATAACAAGAAGAAGTTTGAGTTGATTGAAAAGGAATAAAAAAAAAAACAGAATTTAATTTGCTTTTTAAATTTTTTTTTTTGTACATTCTTTCATTGGGAGACATAAATGTATCATCAGGTCAAGTGTTGTCTACTTTTCTTATAAAAATAACAAAAAAAAAAATTTAAATAAGGAGTTAAAAAAAAATATTTAAAATTCATTAAAATATCAGCAGGTGATCTATTCATTGTGAATTATTAAAAGCGCATAAAAAAAGGGTTTCAAAAAAAAAAAAAACAAAATCACCTGTAGTTTAATAGGGTAATGTGAAAACAATTCGTATACAATAATCAAAATAGCATAAAAAGAACTAAAAACTATTTTTAGTATTATTATAAAATTTGTAAAGGCCTACAGGAATTTTTTGTTAAAATATTTAATTAAAAATAAATTAAAAAATGGTAACAAAAATCTTCCCGATTTTTTGACTTGTGTTATGAAGAGAATGCGGTTTTATAAGATTGATTCCATTGTTTAAAGTTATTCATAACGACATGAAAAAAATTTATTCTGCACTTTTTATGTTACTCTGGTTTTTTTTGTGATTTTGTAAATTTTCATAATGTACGAAACGGCTTAAGGCTATATTTTTGAATGCCCTGGTAATAATGAACATTTTAATATTTAAAGAGATTTAAATTATATGAAAGGTTTTCCATTAAAAAAGAAATTGTTTAAATCCAAAAATTGAGAATAAAAATTTGCGAAAGCAAGAATCATTCTATCTTTATAGTTCTTTGATTCCTAAGTTCCTAAAAAAAGTATTAGGGTGCAGAGCCTATGAACACATTAAGTCCTTCCTAGATGGGTGAATAAACCGCAGTATAGCTATCTACATAGCAGTATTATAACTGTAGCAATAATCTTTGCTTCATCGTTGAATTTTAGCAAAACCCTGAATCTTTCTGATAGTCAGTTTCCACCATTTCCAATGATGTTGTCACGTAATAAAAACCTGTACCAGAAATATTGAGTAATCCTATAGGAATACAAATTGAAAATGTTCATAAAACATTTTTATTATTTTGTACAAATAATAAAGTTTTGTCGATTTTTGTGGAAATTGAAACTTTGGTATCCAGAAGCATTAATAATTGTGGTTTTTTTTTTTTTTGGTAAAATACTTTTTTGTGGTTTTGTTTTTTAACTTATATAATTTTTTTTCCTTTCAAAGTAATTTACTGTTCTAAATTTTTAAAAACACCACATGTGTTTAAATGTTCATTTGTATTTCTTCATCTTGTAATAAATGCTACCATTATTTAAGTGGGATGCTGCACACTTCAAGTATTTATTATACTGAAGAGATAGAGTGTAATATTTTTTTTTTGCTCTTATTTGATTATTGGGCGATAAAAAGTTAATTATGATTTATGATACAACTTTGTTTTTCAATAAGAAAAAAAAAATATGAAAAATTAATAACTTACCACCTAAGATTCCATGTATACTATAATCTTTTCGACCATCTTCTGTTTGACGATCAGAACCTCTTAATAATCTGCTGATTGATGATGTTGATGGTGGATCTTGTATTCCTTGCTATAATATTCATATGATTGTTCATTTATGGTTGTTCAATTTATTTTCACATGTTATGAAAGGAAAGAATATTTTTTTAAATTTAGAAAAATCAAGTATTAAAGAAAAATTTTTAGAATAATATTTATAAATTTTAAATAGTGCTTAAGAGACTACATTGAACTGTTCTTATTTATTTTCTATTTATTTATTGAATTGTATAAATTGACCTTTTGTCGCTAATTTTAGACTTAGTATTCGCAATTGAAGGGTGAGTAAGTTATCGGGAAATTCGCTTAATAATTGCAATTTTGAGTTCCGTATACATGGTAATTTTATTGTTGTATAAGCACAGAGTCATTCTTTGATTTATATCCCGCCCAAAGCAAATGTATTGAAAATTTTTCAAATTGGTCAATTAAAAATTTTCAAATTGGTCATTTGGAAATTATTTTTGGAGCTTAGAGTAAATATGCAAAAGCCCACTAATTTCAGTTCTTCTCAATACGCCCTTCCTAATTCGAAAAATACTTATAAAAACAAAAAAAAATTTTTAAATTTTGTTTTAAATTATAATAAGCGAAGAATCTTTGAGGAAAATTTCTTTGAGATCTGTTGAATGTGTTTGATCAAATTTAACATGTTTGATAAGCAATCAGCAGTCCGGTTTAAACCAACCCCCTAGTCAAATCTTCATGTTAATCGATTGTATTGGCATCTTTTACTCAAACTAGCCTGAAAAATAAGTTCAAGAATATATCTATGTTTTCATTTTTGATATTTGTTCGAATTTCTTTCTTTGGAATACTTGGATTGAAGAAACTAATCTATGCGAACGGGTAGATCATTCATATCTTGCTTAATTTCTCTTGAAATTGTTTGATTCAATATGGCGTTCTGCAAATTTTTAAATCACATCAGTTAAATAAATTAATAGGTCATTCTTTAGGAAAATATTTTTTTTATTTAAAAACATATTATTTTCGTATAGCAGGTGATAAAGTAAACAGAAAAGAAGAACACATTTTAATCTTTCACAAATAATTCGCAACATATGCAAGACTCTATTATACAATTATAAGCCAATAAATTTTTCATTATCATTCTCTTTGTGAATGAACATTAATATTCAACGGAAATCCTTTTATTAACTACCTACTATTTTGAAAACAAAAGCTTTCTATTCTACATCTACTTTTTTTGTTTTGTGTATTTGAAACAATGCGCGTATGTGTAATTTGTTTATGTACCACGTGGTATTCCTTCTTATTATTTCAATTGTATTGAACACTTTGTTTCCTGTCTAAACAAATTATTATGATTTTTTTCCATACAAATGCAAAATAAAATCCTAAAAATCAACTGTTTCTTCTTTTGTTTCTTCATAAAATAAAAATATATTGTTTTAATGAATTGCAAGTGCAAAAAAAATCCAATTTTTCCAGAATTACTATAACCATTGTCGACAATAATGTTTTTATAATAAAAGATTTAGACCAATATTAAAATTATAAAAGAAAATAGCCTCAAGCCAATAGTAATTTTTTTTTTTCAAATTTTTAATAATAAAAATATTTGAAAATTTTAGAAAAAAATTTGTCATCAGATCGACCTGATGCCTTTACTAAAGATCACAAACAATGGGTGCCAGTGCCACCTATGGTTGATGAATACATAAAAAACTAAGAAAATTTGTAAACTATTTTATCACTGTTACTTCCGGTAGTCGGTTTTTCTTTTTGAGTTTTATATTACGTTATTACTTCAGTAACTTTAAGATTTTTACTCGTTGTTTTTTTGTTCTTAGACAGTTTTTGTAAATTGGATTACCATCGGGACATTTTGTTTTTTTTTGTGAAAACGAAAGTTTATAGAAGTAGGCACTCGATAAAAATTGTAGATATGCACTATTAATCTTGAGGAAAATTTTTAATTTGTTTATTCTTTAAGGTTTTAAATAAGTTGGTTGTTTCAAAATATTTAACATTTATCGAATATTTGGGTCCATTAGCTGTGGTTTGTAGGTATTTTCTTTTCTACAGCTACAGTGCTTGGTTCGTTCCCCTTATGAAACCTCTTATTGTACTCGAAAATCCAAATACCTTTTGAAATTCTGAGGATCTTATTTGGCTGTAGTGAATATTTAGTTCAAGTTGAGTATAGAGTGAAATTCTGGACTCTCCCAGAAGGAATTCAATTGTTTTCCTTATTTCTTTAGGTCTTAACAGCTTGACAGTTCCAAATACAGCTTATTGTAACTTTCGAATATGAACTCCGAAAAAAAGTTTTAATACATAATTATATAGACATAAATCATAAGTTCTAATTGATTTTCACCAAATTTTTACGAGAAATATTCTCTCGTTGACACTATATGATAGAGAGCTCTTAAAAAATAATTTAAAATTTTGTAATTTTCAGTACATTTTTACTTCTTTCTATGATTTACTTTAGAATTTATACAAATATTATAGTTGAGGATTTAATATTCGAAATTCGGAATCCCCAAACAACACAAAAAAAAAATTATTTCTGAATGAAAATTTTCTTTTAACTCAAACACTCTTAATATTGTTGTTGTTCCTACTTTTTTTTTGTCTTTTGCTAACAACCCCTGCAGTAAAATAGATTTAGTTTTTTCTTTTTTAATTCATGTTCTCCTTTAATTTATTTTCAAAATTGATTTAATATGCATTTTTACGCAAAATTAGAACTCATAGAAATATTTAGTTTTCGGAAATCGGCTGATTAAAAAGAAGGAAAAAAATTATTTTCTTTTCTCTAACTTACGTAAGCATATTGAATGAAAAGATTTTCCATAAGATTTATTTTGAATATTTTTTATCTTATTTTATAGTCAATATGAGTGTGCTGATTTCAAAATCTCAAAAGAAATGAGCGATTACAGTCAACAATAATAAAATTGTAAGTAAACTTAGAAATAATAAAAAAAAAAACTATAAAATAAAAATAAAACAAAGGTAAAAAAGAGTGACTAAACCGAAAAAACAACAGACGCAAATGAGAAAAAAAAATGAAAAAAGAAAAAAAAATATCGGAACTATTCAACCATTTTAAAGCGTCTTAAAGTCTGCAAAGAAATCCGAACTATGGAAAGCATTTACAAAGCCAATATAAAAGAAAAAGTATTAAAGATAAGAAAGGCACACTAGTAGGAAGAGAAGATGAAGAAGAGTTGCTGTATTGCCATCTCTTTTTCTTTTTGTGTGTATGGTCTTTATTACCAAGGTACTAATTTTTTGTTTCTTTATTTTGTTCTGCGTTATAAGTATTCTTTTTTTTTTTGTGTGCCCAGACATTTGCGCAATTAGTAACAGTTAAAATCCGTAAACAAAGTTCTTAAAGTATTTTATTCTTCAGTTTTTTTTTCTTTTTTAATATACAGTAAAGGTACGTGTACGTTGTTTTGGTATTTCTGAATGCTCTTTGATATTATATGTATGGTATTTTATTAGAGAAATTTATTCAAAAGCAAGTAAGTATGTAAGGATCTGTTTCTTAAAATATTGAAAAGTAATTCCTTGAAATTTACTGAAACTTATTTTTCAAATCTACGTCATACTATCCATATTACATATCAGTTATTTTTATACTTATATACATATGTACATATATATATATATATATATATATATTCAATATATGAGCGGCAATTTTGTTTTTTCATTTTGTTTGTTGTAAATTCATGTTACTGAACTAAATTATGCACGCCCGAATAAGAATATCACCTTTAGGTGATCTGTTCTGAAGTTCATCTATATATACATAACAAATATTATTATACATATGTATATACAATGTAATATATACATTTATTTGTATATGATTGTACGTATGTAATAATGTAATATTTAGCATATTGGCAATATTTATAAAAAAAAATATTGCAATAATAAAAAAAAAATTGAAGAGAAGCTGAAAGCAAAGAGCAATATTAAAAAAAGAAAATTTTAAATTCCATATGGAACAATTTAGATTCGGATCATAATCTATCACAAAGAACAATGAATATTGGAAATTTAAAGGTAAAAAAAAAAACAAAAACAAAAACATAAAAAATCTTCTCTTTTATCTTATATAATCATGTTGATTAATCATTAAAACCGAAGATATAAAGATTCCAGTGACGGACTTATAAAAAAACTTGGCACATTAATATTAAATTTTCTTAAAAACTTTTCATTGCAGGAGCTTGCGTAATAGAAAGTGTTTGGAGTAATGGAAGATTGGGAGGTGTTCTATTCTCAAATAGTTTAAATAATTCCCTAGCTCCATTCGAAGTATTTACCATTCTCTTCAAATGCAACATAAGATGTATTGTAACCAAAATGTATAGATGTATTTCTATTTTTTAATAAGAACAACTGAATGACGGCAACCTAAATAATTTTTTTTGTGACACTGAAAAAACAGTTGTGTCATTTCGTTTCAACACTTCAATGTAAATTTGTACTTCAACTTTTGTACTGCTAAGAACTTTTTTGCATTCCGAATATTTCAGATAATTATGTATGTACGTATTCTCTTAATCAATATAAGTTGAAGGTTTAATTGAAACACTGAATGCAATATTTAAACTCATGGTATGTGTACTTAATTTTGAATGTTACACATTTATTTACCTTAAATTCAGAAATTTAAACCCGTTTTTGCAATGTTTGGATTTTTAAGCAAAAGGATAGGAATATAATAACTCGTCAACATCACAGAGGTTTTACTTAGTTTGTGAATTATTAAGGTAATCAAATATAAAAGAAAATTGTTTTGCACAAAACAATATCAATTTTCTACGAAACTTAAAGCAGATACACTTGATATGATGCTTTTCAAATTGCAATCGCGAGATTCCACACAGAAAAAGTATCATATATGCGCGCACGCTTAGAATAAAACAAGTAAAAACGTTTCAGTCAGTATAAACCGATTGAATTATACCCTGCACCTTTCGTTATTGTGTAGCAATTACACGAACCCGTGAAATCATTCTATAGAAACTTCACGGATATGTCTGACCTATAATTGGACATCCGACTGCCAAGTTTCATGAATCTGACTTTATTATTTTTCCAAATATTAAAAATAAGCTTTTAGGCTTGTATGGTATCTACTCGAACCTGTCAAGCAATTCCACCAAAACTTCAGAAATATATCTGACCTGTAACTCGACATACAAGTGCCAAGTTTCATGAATCTGACTTTATTATTTTTCCAAATATTTAAAATAAGCTTTTGGAGTTGTATGGCAAGTACCCGAACCTGTCAAGCAATTCCACTAAAACCTCACAAATATATCTGATCTACAATCGGACACACAACTGCCAAGTTTCATGAATCTGACTTTATTATTTTTCCAAATATTAAGAATAAGCTTTTAGACTTGTATGGGAGCTACACGAACCTGCCAAGCAATCCCACCAAAACTTTAGAAATATGTCTGACCTATAATTGGACACACGACTGCCAAGTCTCATGAATCTGACTTTATTATTTTTCCAAATATTAAGAATAAACTTTTAGACTTATATGGGAGCTACTCGAACCTGCCAAGCAATTCCACCAAAACTTCAGAAATATATCTGACCTATAACTCGACATACAACTGCCAAGTTTCATGAATCTGACTTTATTATTTTTCCAAATATTTAAAATAAGCTTTTGGAGTTGTATGGCAAGTACCCGAACCTGTCAAGGAATTTCAATAAAACTTCACAAATATATCTGATCTACAATCGGACACGCAACTGCCAAGTTTCATGAATCTGACTTTATTATTTTGCCAAATATTTAAAATTAGCTTCTGGAGTTGTATGGCAGGTACCCGAACCGGTGCAGCTATCCCATTATAATTTTTAGAGCATGTGTAGAATATAATTGGACACATGTATACAAAATTTTATATTTATAGCTTTATTAGTTTTCGAAATATTTAAAATAAACTCTTTGAGCTGTATGGCAGCTACCCGAACCCGTTGTCCGAATTAGTCCAATAACAATAGGGTTCGTCCTTGGCACAAAAGAAAAAACTTGTGAAAGTTTGGTGTCGATTGCATTATTCGTTTTTGAGTTATCGTGCGATCGGACGGACGGACGGACGGACGGACATGTCTAAATCGACTCAGAATTTTACGCTGAGCAAGAATATATATATATGTCCATACCGCAGATGACTCCTTCAAGTAGTTACAAACTCCATACCAAAGTTAATATACCCTTCACGAAGTGCAGGGTATAAAAAATCAGATAAGTTGCCACAATTGCACTGTTTAAGAAAGGTCTTCAAGGCTATATGGTGTTAAAGTTTGAAGGTGTTAGAACAGAACACTGTCACAATGGAACACTTATTTAAAACTTAAATGACTTAGAAAAAAAACAATGTCTTATGTAGATCCGTAGATCGTCTTTGTGTATGAAAGCCACCACTGATAAGTGCGGATCTTATTCAGCACAAGAAAAGAGATTTACTTATGCTTAAACGATATTATGTATTTATATGTATACTTTTATTTTGTAATCTAAGTACACATAAACATATAACTGTAAAAACATCAATAATTGTGAATAAATTCAAAAGGTAACAATAATTGATTGGTATAAAACTCATATACATTATGACGTATCATTGATTTTGAATATAAAATGAGGTTGTGCACCGGTTTTTGGCACACGAAACCTTTCGTGTCTTTTTCTTTGATTTTTTTCTTGTAATTTTTTCAAACAGAAAATTACAGAATTTTAATGAAAGATCAAAAAAATTGTGCAATAAAATTTGCACTCTTCTTTTTATTTTTTCATCAAACAATTTCGCCGTTCTTGCTTTGTTTTTGTTTTAAAGTTGCGTTTAAAAAAAGTTTTATTTTTTACTTCATAAAAAATTATTAATTTTTTATTATTTTTAAAATTAAAATTCAAGTTTCTCGCTTACTATACATTGTATTTCTTGAAAGTTTATTCTCAGCTCGTTTACTACATAAAAGTTTTGAAAAAGATCAATTGCAATTCACGTGTTCAAGAAAAGAATAACAAGGAATACCATAAAGTTCAAAAGAGAAAGAGATAGAAAGTGAGAAAGAGAAGGAAATAAAGAAAAGAAAAAGGAAAGATGTAGAGAATATGGGGTATAAAAGTATATTTGAATTTTTGTATGAGACTTTTATGTAAAATTTTTGAAATTTCCTTGAAACAATATCACTCATCGCATACTAAAATATTTCGTAATGCTAACATTATTACTGTCGGGTAAATTAACGCCTTCTTTATAAAATATGTAAAAATATTCAGTTATATCTCATCGATGATGCAATATTTTGATTTAAATCGATTATTATTTTTTTGTGGATCAATGTTGTATCAACTGTGAGATAAAAATCTTAAAAAAAAACAAAATTAATGAATCAATATTTAATTTGAATTGGGCTTTATTTATTTTTTTTTGAACAAAAATGTTGCGGCGTTCCTTTTCGTCTTATATAAACAAATGTTTCCCTTGTGAATGCAGTTATGAAATTTAAATATTTTTAAAGGTGAAAAGGCGATTTAACTTAAATTTTTCTTTTATGGAAAAGGATATCCTTTCATTACCGTAACAAATTAATTATTTTATGGATTGTTTGGTTTTATACATGAGTTGTTTGATTGATATCAAATGAAATTCTATCTGTAGTGCTTTATTCAACAATAACAGAGAAAAGCTAATTTTAAAAAGTTAAAATTTTTATTTGGAAAAGTGGTGACAAACTGGAATTTGATAAAGATGAAGAGTTACGGAAATTGAAGAGGGTATTAAGTTGAGCAGAAAATAATTTCATGAAACGCTATTAATTAAAATTGTTTACTAATTTTATGTGTACAAACATATCTTTTAGGGAGAGTGCAAATTTACTGTTCAGATTATAAGAAAAGAAATAAAATGTATGCAATATTTAAATTCTGATTATTGAATTAAAATGGTAAGCATTTCAAGGATATGGCATTGAGATCAGCTCAGCATATATCTTTTTCTACTACTGTCGAAGAAGTATTTGAGCAATCATTGTAAAAGGATTGGTAATATTCATGTAGCAAAGTAACAATATTCTTTTTAAAAGAATTGTATTCATCTTATTCTTGAATTCCCAAAAAGTACTTTTAAAATAGTTTTATAACTTATATCAAAAAAAATATGAAATTACCTTAATTAATTTCTCTCGAATCTCCCAACTAAATATTCCTGGATTTTCTTTTCTTAATTCTTCAATTTTTGCTTCTATTTCTGGTGTTGCTACTTTTGGTTTTGAACCACCAATAACACCTGGTCTTATTGAACCAGTTTCTTGATAACGATTTAAAATTTTACTAACACAGCCATGTGAAACTCTTAATTGACGACTAATTACACAAGGTCGGATACCAGCCGCTGCCATTTCAACTATTTGCCGTCGTATATGATTTGGTAATGGTCGACCATTTATAAAAACACCACCTAATTGATTAACTCGGCCTTGTCCTAAAAATATACAAATAAATTTATTTTAGATTATAAATTAGAAATTTTATATAAAACTATTAATATTTATTAATATTTATTAGTGCTCTTATTCTTGTGTTTGTTTCTTTAATTATATATTAAATAATTTCACGGTTTCCCGCGTGATTAACGAATATGTTATTTTTTTCCTTAAAAATCTAAAAAAAAGAAATAAATTTTTACATGGAATTATAAATTACTTCATTTTAAATTAACTAGTTTTTGTTATGTTTGTATAATTATGATTAATTATTAATTTTTTAATAGATTATGGGAGCGAAAATATTTCATTGATGTTGATATATTATAAAGTGCCGATGAGTTTCTGAAGAAAAAGTGCTCAAAACTCATAACACGTTTTTTAATGTGCGTAATAATTTCTTTATAAGTAATTCAATTGCGTTTGAAAATTATCGTAGAACAGTTTAAAGCTTTTCAGTACAGAACAGTTTTAAGCTTCTCTGGTTTGTATAATTGTTATACCGGCACCAAATTTTTTTAATAATTCAGAAGTAAAAGTTTAAGACAGCTTGCTCTAGTTGGAATTTATCAAACAAAATTTGACCAAATATTGCTTAAAACAACATTAATTAATGAAACAAAAAAACAAAAAAAAAATTAAAGAAACTATATTTGAAGTGAAAATTGAATTTGGAGATGAAAACTATAGTAGACCAACTTTTATAAAAAAAACTTCCATACTCTTATATATAAGAAAATAAACACATTCATATGCAAAATATGGCAATTTTAGACAATATAATTGTTATAATGACACGTTTCAGTCAGTATAAACCGGCAGAATAATACCTTGCACTTTGACAATCTGAGTTTAAAAATTTGTTTTTGAAACATCTAGAATTAGTTTACATTGAGAAATGGCAATTATGGGAACCTGTCAAACCACTCAATAGAACCTTCCCGGATATTACCTCTGACCTATGAGTGGACACATTAATGCCAAGTTTCATGAATGTAGCTTTAATGTTTTTCCAAATATTTAAAATTTTCTTTTAGAGTTGTATGGCAGCTACCCGAATCCGTTATCCTAATCGGTCCAATTATAACACTAGCCGTCCTTGGCAGAAAAGGAACAATTTGTGAAAGTTTGGTGTCGATTGCATTATTCGTTTTTAAGTTATAACGGAAGAAAAAACATGTCTAAATCAACGCAGAATTTTGCGCTGAGCAAGAATATATATATATATGTTCTTATCGAAGACGATTCCTTCAAGTGGTTACACTCTCCATACCAAAGTGAATATATTTTTCACAAAGGTGCAGGATATAAAAAGCGACGGTAAAGCATTTTTTTCTTTATTGAGCTTTCCTTGCAATTGAAATAAGAAAAATACTTAGTACACGACTTTATATGAAATTTTATAGTGTTGTACGATATTTGATTTTTATCTTAAAATAATAGAACGGCGTAGATTAATATTGCTTTATTAACAAATTTTAATAGCCCCCAAATATATGCAATTTTGTGTATTATTTCATGCATTCTCAGTTCAACGATAAGTTTGAATTAAAATTTTAGAGAGTAGCTACCGAAAAATAATTGTTTCAATAAAAATTTCGAGTGTAAATTAATCGAATATGAAACAGTATAACATTAATGATTAATAAGTTAAGTAAATTTTAAATTTCACCTCAAGGTGTTCGTTAATCATTTTAGAATTTTCATGGGGGTAACTATCGTGATAATATTCGTTTATGTCATTTATTTAAGATTGATAATATTAAATTTACTAATTATTATAGATTCTTCAGAATATTAATATCATTATTTTTATATTTTACTGTTGCTATTTACTGTCGGCAAAATGCAATTAATAAAATCATTTCAAGCGCTTATAATTTGTAAGCGCTTGAATCGATTTCCTAAATATTATATAAAAAGCCCACTTGATTCAAAAATTTTTAATTTAGTTATTATTAATTTCAGTAAATTGATACTTTGGTAAACAAATTGTCATTATTTTATAATTAGATAAATATATTTTATATATTAGATAAATATACCGTAGGCGTAATGAAATTATTATGAATAAAATTAAAAGATTTCAATTAGTAAGCACAAAGTTCAATTATGATTATTAGGTTATTCGGTGTATAATCCCTTGCAATTATTGTAATGAGTAGCAACGAGTAGAATATTGGGGGTGTCGAACTTATTGTAAATTGAATATTTATAATAGATCAGTTGAAATTGTTTTTAATAATTTGTCATGCCATTTAAATCATCAATATACAATACAAAATGTAGATTTAGTAAATTATTCAGCACATTATATTTTATAACTTTTATAATATCCTGATGTTGTATAATTGCTTCATGTAATTTTATAGATAGATTTTACAAAATAGTAATAGAAATATTATGAAACGTTTAAAAATTGATAAAACAGTTGATTATTCATTATAGCGCATATACCGACGGGCAAATTTTAATCAGTGGTTTTATATAGATTTAATTAATATAATTTTCGAGTGTTAACAGCTTCCTAATTAGACAAGTTTTACTTGAAGGTCTAGTCTGGAAGTGTTATCTTCTTAAAGAACTATCTTTCTGTGTCTATTTTTCTTTGGGCTGTCGAATTCATAGACAACATCCCAAACCAAGTACTCCAAGTAAATTTTCGTCATTTATTGACTTTGCTTCGAATGACTAACCAGCAGTATGTAATGCATTTTCTGAGAACAACACTGGCACTGTTCGTAAAAAGGAGGCGCTAGCTCTTTTCTTTAGTAATGTGTCTGTTTATTTATTACTAGTATATTCGCGACATCCGACACTATCTGTGATAGTGGTTACTCAGCCTGTTGAGATGGCTATCAAACCCTGAAGATACTTACTAATGGAAATAGTGAATAACTAAAATGATAGACTGCATGAATTTAACAATATTTCTCATTGGGAATAGTAAAGTTTGTATGAAAACTAGTTGTGATTAATATTGTTCTATAGAATTAATTATAATATCGTCCAAATTAGATATACAAAAAATTAATACAAGGGCTCATTTCAAGTTAGTGCAAAATTTTGTAAGTTTTAGTGTATATAAATATACAGTAATATGCAGTATAGTAAGTAAAATTTATGAATACCTTGGAAGGGATATCCACCAAAAAGTGGTCTCATATTAATTGAATTAGCTCCAGTCATATCCATTTTATTAATCCGTTATATTTATAAAATTATTAAATTTTAATTTCGATTTTCTATTATAATTAAAGATCTATAAATAAATTAAATATAATATGTATAACACTTTTTAATTTTAATATTTATTTTCTCTTCAATTATATTTGTATATTTGTGTATTAGTAGTAAAAACACCATATTATTTTATTTAAATAATTTGCAATTAAATTTATATTTTGTAAATTAATTAGCTCAGTAAAATTAAATTGACATAAATAATAAAATAATATGTGCATAATAATGTAAATAAGATTTTTAAAATTATTAATTTAATAATAATTAATTGCAATTAATATTAAACACTTTTAAATTAAAATATACAACATTCATATATTATTCAAATATATTTTTTTTATTTCTTATTTAATTAAATCACATTTTACATTAATTAAATAAATTTCATTATGATATTAATGCGAGTATATATGTATATGTAAATATAATTTTTATGTTAATTAATTAATTTTTTATTTTAAAATTTATTATAATATATTGTATAATTAAATGCCTACACTGAAAAATCAGAAGGGTTTTCGTTCTATTCACAAACAAACTATTTAAATATTTATAAATATTTTCACGAACGAGTATAATTTAAATTGCAATATAATTAATTAAATTAATTATAAAGAACGAATTTATTTTATTATTTGATTAATCACTTAATTAGACAAAATATTTTTTTTTAATTTTAATTACATATATTTATTTTGACATGCTATTTAGGCATAACAAATTGATTTAATTAATTTATTAATTTATTTCTTTTTTATTTTATATATATTTTTTTAAATTAATTAATTTATTTAAAATATGAAGTGAGATATAACGGTATTAATAGTTATCCATGGTATATAGTAATTAATTTTACACTGGTATATTTCATATTCATTACAATTTGCCATGTAGAGACGAAGAGAGAAACGAAATGACAGAAAATAGAACACGAATTTAAAACGGTAAAGCAGTCAGGTGTGAAATAATTTTTATTCAATTATATGAGATTCTAAATAATGTATTTGTTAAAATTATTTTAGATATTTTAGTGATAACAGTAATGTTTTTACTATTAAAAAATCTACCGAATTAACCGTTTAACGCACAGCGTATTAAATTACTTTGTTTAATAATAATTTTATCCATTTTTGTATTTCAATAAAAAGATTAATAGAAAAACGGTATTTTTGTTTTTTTTTTTAAAGCACAAAAAAAAAAAATAATATTAATAATTAAAAAAAATGTATAAATATTAAATATGCAATAAACTCGCGATCACGATCATCACTACTGATGTATTCGTGTTGATACTGAAGAAAAAAAAAGACGATAAAACTTTTTTTTAATCCCAAAAAAAAAAAATAAGAAATAAAACTGCGATTTACAAACATATGGCACCGTATACACATACGTACATTTATAAAAATTATATTAATAATAATAATAATATATGCGGCTCGCGGATATTTCGTTTTCATATCTTCTATGTAGAAGTAAAAGAGAGAAATATTTCTTATGAGTTGCCACGGAAGAACATACAAATAAAAGAGATGAATATAATTTTTATTATTAAAAATGTGTTCATTTTTATTATTTTTTTTTATTACTGTTATTATTTTATTAATAATATTATTACAAATATTTACACACCTTTTCTTCTTTTATTATATTATATGATTAAAATTTCGTTGTCGTTGTGTTTATTAAATCAAATATCGTAAATATGGACCAGTATTTTTTTAAATATTATCTTGATTGAATATTTATATACGATATTTAAATTTATATTCATATAGAATAGATGACACATAAAATAATGATTTGTTATTATTTGTGAACTTAGATAAAGAAGATAAAGAAATGATATGCTGGGTGGATGGGTTAGGTGGACACCTCCCATTTAATATTTATATTTATTTTCTACGATATCTTGTGATATTTTTTTTTACATCTTTTGTTAGCATAAATTTAAGTATCTATTTAATTTTATATTATATACATATATATTATATTTGCACACTTTAAAGTTATCCGCTAATCCGATATGTTACTTTTACGATGTGCGCGAATTCTTTAATAACTACAACAAATATTTTATGTATACATATAATATATGGAAATTTTTATTTGTTTTATTAACTTTGTGTATAAGAAAGCAAATCCAATAAACACACATTAAAAATCCCCTTTTGAGAAATTTGTTTCTTCCGTTATATTATCGTAAATAAAAAAAAAAACAATAATCTCTCATATTTTTTTAATATAAGTAAATCATTTACGATATCATTTAATTATAAATAACAAAAAAAAAACCATACATTTACAAAATGCATTGTTAATGTATGTATATGTATTTATAAATATGATTATAAATTTATATAATGAGAATGATTACAATCAATTATAATCAATGGGAGATATACGTACATATAACATAATGCTATGGTATATATACGGTGTAACTCATACCGCTTTGATTACGCACTCAATAAAATAATAATAATGATGATCAAAAAAAATATACAACATTTACGATAAACTCCGCCTTAAATTATAATAAAAGTTTAACCGAATATACGATTTTTTATATATACATATAATAATAAGTAAGTGAAGTTGTATGTATATTATTCCTGTATTATAATTTTGAGAGAAGAGAGAGAGCGACAGAGAAAATTTTAATCAGGAGTAGAGATAAAATAGCGATTATAAAATTGAAACCGTTGGAATGCACATGGCGATCTTTTTCTGTTTCATGATATTTGATTGGATTCCTTTTTATATTTCATTTTGGTTGCTTTTAATATTTTTTTTTCCTATTTATTTATTTATGTACATGTACATTATAATAATTCTTTTCTTTTTGTTTAATTGTGCCATTGTTATTATTATAACAGTTTAATCATACACTGAATTTGAACATAAATAAAATTTGTGATTGTAGTAGTTTTGTTTGTTTCGAAAGAAATTTGTGTACAGCTGCATTTATATTAATTTTGCTTTGATTAAATCTGTGAGACATAAACGGGTTTTACTCACATAATTGTCATGAATAGTTTTTGTGATTTTCATGTTAGTTTTTCAATATCGTTTTTTGTTATTGCTTTTATTATTTTATTTTTTGTTTGCAATTTCTTAATTTTTACGGACATAGTAAAAGGGGAAATTGTCGTCGTTCAAAATAAATGGAGAATTAAAAAATGTCATTTTTAGTTTTTTGTAAATAAAAGGATGGTTTCTCAACATTTTTCAATTTTTTTTTTTATTATTTTTTCGTTTTGTTTTAAGAATAAAAATTGTATGTATTGAAAATTTTTGGTATTTTATTTAATTTAGTGTCAGATAAGTAATTAGGAAAGGGTTTAAATACAAATCTTAAATTTTAAAATTTCCTTTATTTTATACCTTATGATCTATAATACATATAAAAAATTACTTTAAACGTTTAATTAATATTGCACCTACATACATACGGGCCTATTTGTGGGGCTTCACAAAATATAAATCAAAATAAAAACAGCGGAAAATGTTATAAATTATAACTGAGGGTTTTCATTGCTTATGGACTAAAATTATTTATATTGAAGAAATTTAATTTGAAGACTGGTAACTTTTTCACACTTGTTATAGGTATACTCTGCAAATCATCATTAATAGATTCAAACTATAACAACAAAGTATAGGCCAAAAATTTACTAAGAAAATCATTCTTTAATCCAAGTAACTTTGTATTTAAAAAAATTGTGTTCGCCAAAGATGCTAAAAAACCACCTTTTATCACTAACCTTATTTTTTCCAAAATTGTACCAGAGTATCTCATTATGGTCATTATTGCATAACGGGGTCATTATTATACTATATTCAACAATATTTTTGTTTTTAAAATATATCTGTATGACATTACGGATAAGATGTGGTTTTAACAGAATTAATTCATTTTCAAATGTGGATATAATGTGGAACACATCAGCAAATAGTAAATGGTATCATATGATCGCTAACGTCCAAAATCGGATATGCAGCAGAAGATGAAGAGATATAAAAATTCATTTGTATCTCTTATACTTTACATTTTCAAGCTCTATTCTACTTATAAAACAATATTTTAGTGTTAACCTTGAAATCATTTAACCATATGCCTATTGCATTCATATAATAAATAATAACACTTGTATACAAAATTTGTTAGAGGTTAATTGGTTTGATATTACCTACATTGATAATAGCCATAATTTATTTGTATACGAGTATAATATTAATGAAAAAAACAAAAATATATTCCCATAATTTATAGACATACATATTTTAACCTTGTTCATTATTACCCATATAATAAATAACCAGGATTTTCTAATAGAAACCAATCAAATAAAACGAATCAATAAATATTTTCTTTTTAAATTTCTTTCATCATAGTACTAAAAAAAAGTTTATTATTTAAAAAGAAAAATCGATTATAATTGATTGTCTATAGTAATTACCTACATCAATATCACCAGTAGAGGAAATAAAAATAATAAGAGCAGCAGGATTTTACCTCAATTCATTCAATAAATTTCTCTCTCTTATAAATTGATTCATTATTAGTGGAATCAATTCATCATTTTTTTTTTCTGTTCTCATTTTCACCTCTTCAAAAATTTTTATTTAATTTCAAGTCTTCAGAAATTCCAGATTTCGTTCAGATTCAATGGGTGGTAAATTCAATAAAAAAAAAAAAATAAAAGACAGCAAATCTTTCTTATAAATGTTTTTTTTTTTAAGAGAATTTTTTGTCTTCTCTTATTTTCTACATGCACAGTTTTTCTTATTATTATTATTTATTTATTTTATTCAGTAGCTGACATGATAGTTATTAAAACAAATCTATAATGGTGTTCAATATAAACGAGAGAAAAACAACAAAATAAAATAAGCATCATGTGGTGACCGAAACCGTCAAAATTTTTTTAAACTCTATACATACAATT